TATATATATATATATAATATATATATATGCAGTCCTAAATGTACTATGTAATAAATACAAATTAAAAAATAGTTATATAAAAAAGTAAAAAATAAAATTATATAAAACATTTAAAAAAAAGAAGTGATAAAGTAAAAAATAAATAAAACAAACCCTGCTGGGGGAGTGGTCACCGACAAACATGTGAGGAGGTGTTCTTGCAGAGCTCCGGCACCCGCTTCACTCAGCGATATTAGAGCCTAGTAAGGAGTCGGCTACCTGAAGTCCCAGAAGCGAGATAAAAGGAGAGACACCCTGCAGTGAAACTACTCACCATACGGTCGGTCGTATGGTGGGGAGGAGTAATAAGAAAAAGCCCAAAGAGCCTGGGGAATCTACTTGGATGGCGTAGAGAACAAACATCGTAATGTTTTTTTCGCAGAACGGAGGAAGAAGAAACTGTAAGCACACCACTAAAAGTGTCATTCTCAGGAGACTGAGATCTGACCTCATCGACCTCATCTGCCAAGCCCAACCCTTGAAAAAAAAAACCCACACCATAATCCCCCCTCCACCAAACATTACACTCGGCACAATGTAGCCAGGCAAGTACCGTTCTCCTGGCAACCGCCAAACCCAGACACGTCCATCGGATTGCCAGACAGAAAAGCATGATTCGTCACTCCAGAGAAGACAACTCCACTGCTCTAGAGTCCAGTGGCGGCGTGCTTTACACCACTGCATTTGAGGGACTTTACACCACTGCATTCGACGCTTTGCATTGCACTTGGTGATGTAAAACTTGGATGCAGCTGCTCGGCCATGGAAACCCATTCCATGAAGCTCTCTATGCACTGTTGTTGCGCCAATCTGAAGGCCACACGAAGTTTGGAGGTCTGTAGCTATTAACTCTGCAGACTGTTGGCAACTTCTGCGCACTGTGCTCTTCAGCATGCACTGACCTCGCTCTGTCATTTTACGTGGCCTACCCCTTCGTGGCGGAGTTGCTGTTGTTCACAGTTGCTTCCACTTTGTTATAATACCACTACCAGTTGACCGTGGAATATTTAGTAGCAAGGAAATTTCACAGAGGGACTTATTGCACAGGTGGAGACCTATCACGCTACCACGCTTGAATTTACTGAGCTCCTGAGAGCGACACGTTCATTCACAAATGTTTGTAGAAGCAGTCTGCATGTCCAGGTGCTTGATTGTATACACCTGTGGCCTTGGAGGTGATTGGAACACCTGAATCCAATGATTTGGAGGGGTGTCCCAATACTTTTTGGCAATATAGTGTATTTGGAACGACTGATGAGGCTGTTATTTGCAAGATAAATTGGGCAACCTCCATCCAAAATAGACCTATCTGCGGGCATTCCCATAAAATGTGTATAAAGTCTGCTAAGGCAAAAGAGCATCTCCAGCAGACTTGGGAGCCAGCCCCATAGATCTTCACCAGCCTGGCCGGCGTATATCCTATGAAGAATCTTAAATTGGATAAGTCTATCCCTGGCAGAGATCAAATGAGTAAAGGGATAGTCCTAAACATCTTCCTAATCCTCATCGGAAAGAATTGGGACCTCCAGAAGCCATTTGCTTTTACATTGAAGGTCACAAAGGTGAGTTATACAGAATAAGGCACAATATTCTTCAGATAGAGGTTTCCGCAAATCCTCACACCTAAGCAATTTCTCCAAGAGCGACATTAACAAGGAACAGTTGGAACCTCCAAATTCTCTGAAAACCATGCCGGACCTGCAGGTAGCGGAACAAATATACATCAGGGAGATCATACCTTGTTTTCAGTTCATCAAAGGTCATAAGAAAATTGTTCGAAGTCACATCCCCATTGGTTCTGATACCCCTACTTGGCCATATATGATCTGGTTATTCTGACTCCAAACAGTTGTATTAGTGATTTAACCTGCCCTTAGTAAACATGGGCACTGTCAGAAGACTGGGGAAGAAAAGAGAAATAAGGTATGCAAAGAATACAGAGTAGGCAATTATCTAGAAGTATGCGTTTGTAGAAAACCTTTCTAAAAGGTGTGTTTGTTGTTATTTTAAAGATATGAGTAAAGGTCCCTTTACGGAAAATTGTAATGTAAATTCTCATTATTCTCAAACTCACAGTATTATGAATATAAACCATGACTATGCATTGTCATATTTTCATACAATAGATTTAACTGCACACTTGTAAATCTAGGAAATGGGCCAAACACGGGTTTTTCCACAAAGGAGTATGCAGGGACCAGAAAGTCCCATTCGGGTATAGAAGCCTGGAGTTCTTTAAGTAGTTTAGTGGCTTGGCACTTTGCATTCACCGTAGTTTCAGCATTACAAAACTGTAACATTCTGCTACTGTACCCTGATCTAATTTTGCCTATTTATTCCAGAGTTTTGATGCGACTTTCTGATGACTTCTTGCTAGTTACAACCAACCTACAAAAAGCAAAGACCTTTTTACGGTATGTAGTTTTAGTACATTCTTGAAGCATTGTTTGTTTCCTCATGCTTTCTCTGTCTCCACCCCCTGCTGCTCCGCCCCCCTTCTCCTCTTGCTCGCTCGCCCGCCTGCCGACATTAGACAGCACGGCTGCCTAATGTTGCGGTGCCTGAACCTTGGCTCGCGTGCCAGCAGAAAGGGCCTCGCGTGCCCTCCCTGGCACGCGTGCCATAGGTTCGCCACCACTGTACTAGATGGTCCCACAAACACTTCATAAACCTTTCCTGTTAGTTTATGCTGGAGGTGCCAAGAAGAGGTTAGCGCATTCTTGCATGCGTGGTGGACCTGCCCAAGAATATACTGTAGAACGTTTGGAAACACTCTTATCACTGGGCAGTCTGACATTCATATCTGTGCGTGCCCTATTGCATCACAACAAAACTTCCCCACATAAGTATGAATGCGGAGAAGCTGGTCATCTTGTCCTATGGAAGTTGACTTGCTAGCCCTCACTCGGATTGGTACTGTAAGACAGTGGTTCTCAACCTGTGTAACCTCAATACCCACTTTTGTCCTTGGTCATAAAGTCATGACCCAAAAATAATTTCATTTCCAAAACATAATTTATTCCACAAAACAATTTGTGCAGTATTCCACAATGTATATATGCACATTTTAAACAGTTTCTTTGCCGTGGCAGGGTAATTATAACTTAAAATAACACTGCCACACCAGTTTGGCTGAGGAAAGTGGGATTACAAAGTGGGTGCACAGAGTGTGTCGGCATTGTGGGCGCACAGAGTGTGTGGGTGCTGTTTGTGCAGAGAATAGGTGGACGTTGTGGGCGCACAGGGTGTGTGAGGGTGCTGTGGGTGGGCGCACATTGTGTGCGTGTTTGTGCATCCAGAGTCTGTCTGTAGGTAAAGAGTGTGTGGGTGCACATAGTGTGTGGGGGCACACGGGTGGGGGGGGGGGGGGGGGCGGGGGGGTTTGAGGAGAATGCAGTATTCTCCTTAGAGATACTTTGTATCAGTTTGTAAACACACAGCCGGCTCGCAGCTACACAACACAGTGAGCTGCTGCCGGGTCTGTGGCTGTGACGGCTCTGTGATGAGAGCGATAACTTGTCGCTGTGATCACAGGGCTGGGACCACCTAATCTGCTGTTGAGGATCTGCTTCGGACCCAGCAATAGCAGCAGTAACTCAATGAGAGTTGGTCCCTTCATGGACTAGTGCTCATTTTACTGCATAAAGGGTTTATCCAGTCACCAGTTGTTAATGAACTGAACGATCATAACTGAATAATCCTGTCGGTTGTGAAGGGGTGAAACAAAATGGCAGCTTTACCTGTGTCCGATAGAAGGGGCACAACCCAAGCAACTTGTGTGAGGACAGTCAGTTTTAAGGTGTTTGGTGCACTTTGTTTTGCCTTTTTACTAAACGTTTAAAACAATGCAGTGAGCTACTGTGAAAAAAGAAGCACCCCTTGCTTCTGTGACCACTCCCCAACCCCAACGAGCTCCAGTGTGGTGGAGCCAGCCATGGCAGTTGGATTAAAGTGTATTTCCACTTTTGCAGTCAAATTTGAGAAAACCCCTCTATATGTTTATGTTCCCATTCACACAGCATAACAAAAAAAAATACTTAAAAAATGTCTTACTTTTTAGATGTTTTGTTGCAGCAGGCAACATGGCTGGATCCAGTTTTGTTTTCTTTGAGCACCCTCACAGTGATTATTATTATACAGGATTTATATAGCGCCAACAGTTTTTGCAGTGCTTTACAATATAAGGAGGATATTACAAAACAAGACAAGATGGTAAGGAGGGCCCTGCCCGTGAGAGTTTACAATCTAAAAGGTAGGGGCAAGTGATACAAGGGATGGTAGCTGTGTGAGGATGAATTGTTTGAGACAGTGATTGTTCAGTGGTTAGGTTGAGGTGGGATAGGCTTCCCTGAAGAGGTGAGTCTTAAGGGATCCTTATAGAAAGACTTAGGACTGAAATTTGTGGATTGTTTCTCTCATTAACTTTAACATACAATGCAAACCCCTCACATTCCCTCCTAACGTTACAAAGAAGAAGCCAAGTAGAAACTTTAACCCTTAAGAAGCCAAGCCCTAAGCCAATTTAACTTGCATTTTTTAAAGAAAAACTCTAGGATTTTACAAAATTAACCCTTGCAGTGGGGCTTGTTTTGGTGTAGGGGTGAAAATAAAATAGAAATACTCACCCGATCCTCGATCCCCCCAGGACTGTTTGACTCTCTTCCCCTTTGCTCCAGCTGTGGTATTGTACCTTGGCATCCTCGTGTCTAATGGACCTGCATTAGATGTGATAACGTCATGAGTCCTTAGAATACTGGAGCCCGGGGAGAGGAGGCTTTGGGGACCGGATGAGAATTTCTTCTTTATTTCCCCCCCTAGACAGAACGAGCAGGTAACCCTTGCAGTGTTCATTTTTTAAAATCCTGTATTAGGGCCATCAATCACTGATAACACTAAACTGATGAGCGGTAACAGCTTTTAAAGCGTCGCCTATGGCCAATTTTGGGTATTATCGTTTTTTTGAGGTTTCGCGCACGCAATTTTAAGGCTTGACATGTTTGGTGTCTTTTTACCCGACGTGACCCCGTCTTTTATATTTTACCAAAAAATTGGGTAATAATGTTTTATCATTTAATATAGGGGAAACAGTTTTTTTTTTTATTTCGGTAATTTTTCCTTAATATAGTAATAAAAATAAAACCCGTAGTGGTGAATAAATACCACCAAAAGAAAGCTCTATCTGTCCCCAAAAAAGGGTATAAAATTCATTGCAGTACAGCATTGCATGACGGAATAAATGTCTAAGTACCGCAGCGCTGAATACTGAAAAATGGCCTGGGTGGGACGGGGGTTTAACACCGCGGATGTCAACTGGTTAAGGTGACATTGGTTATCCCTGTGGTGAGAAAAATGCTGAGGTATAGTCCTGACACACAGAGATAAAAAAAAATTACATGGAAAAGTAGCCCAACTTAAAATAACAATACATAAAAAGAAGATATGATAGACTGCTACAATTGAATAAGTTCTCAGCAAAAGATTTGCCAAAAGTTTAACCATAATGTATATAAAGAAATGGTAAATAAAGGGAAGTGTTTTGTATGAGTAAGCATAAACTATTAATTTAGAATAGAAAAACATAATTTTAGCATTACAAACAACTCTAATTGAATGTGTCTATCTACTACTAGCCAATTAGCATATAGTGTGCTGCAAAGGTGATTTTTCAGGAATTTAAAGCTCTGTAGGTTAATCTGAGGCTAGCTAGTCTCTTACTTATCCATATACATTGGTTAACAAAGTACAGGCAGTCCCAGGGTTACCTACAAGATAGGAACTGTAGGTTTGTACTTAAGCTGAATTTGTATGCAAGTTGGAACAGGTAAATTTTTTAAGTGTGACTCCAGCCAAAAAAAACTTTTTCGTTTTGGATAGCATAGGGAAGGGTCACGTTTGTTTTGCTGTCTGTTCCTGTTGTTCAGAAGATTATAATAAAACTAAATTTATTTAAAATTATTTTTTTAATTTAAAACGCATGAAGAAAGTTTTTTTCTATTTTTAATTTTATTTTATAAACTTTTTTCGGCTGGGTATGGCTCCCAGCCTGCAGATGAAGAGGAGGCAGTGGAGCAGGACAGAGGAGCAGCGGCCGGACGGGGGAGCTTTAATGTACAGGCGGCTGCCGGTACATTTAGGAGAACTGTGGACCCCGGTTCCTAAGTACGGATTGCCCGTAAGTCGGACATTCCTAACCCGGGGACTGCCTGTATACAGATAAAATAATGAAACCATATTGCCTGTAAAGCACATGAAACTAAACTCAATAAGCAACAGATTCAAATGTTGTTATAGTATGTGCACTTTAAGTTGCAGAATGTTGTGTCTGCTGGTATCTGGTTTTTTTGTCTTTCCCATCAACTATAAACCAATCTAAATTTAATGTAGGGTCTTTAATATTCTTTCATATTACTATCGGCATAGTTTCTATATATATACAATTCATATAAATGTGATTCTCTGATTGATAAATGGAATATAGCTGTAGTAAATCAAATTGTATGCATTAATCTATCATGTTTCCAAACTTATTTCAGAATTCTAGCAGAAGGAATTCCTGAATATGGGTGCTCCATAAGCCAGTATAAGACCATGGTGAATTTTCCTATTGAAGATATTCCAGGGTGTTCAGAAGTACAGTGCTTACCAGCTCACACTTTATTCTCGTGGTGTGGCTTACTGCTTGATACAAAGACTTTGGAAGTTTTCAGTGATTATTCTCGGTAATACAGGCGTATCATAATGTATTACTTTTTTTTTTTTACAGAAGCATGCTTTTATGCTTTATATCTTTTTTTACTTTGTTTAAAGTTAAATAATGCAACTACATTTCTAGTACTTGATGTTTAAAATGAGTAAACCTAACTCTCCAGCCTGTCACAAATGTCAGGTGCAAGAAGGGGTTATTATACATATGTGAAAACAAAATCCACAAATGCGGATATCAGGTCGTGCATAAATAGCAGTGTATATTACAAATAGCTCATTCCAAACAGTATATCATGTGTCCAGCTGTGCAAGAAAATAAAAATGATGCCACAGTCTCAGCCTAATGAAGCCACAACATCCAGCCTTGCATCCTCTGAATAACAGAGGAAGGGCAATCTCAGGATATAGAAGACAAAAGTACAGAAGCACACCGGCATAGTCTAGCAAATTAGACTTTAATAAAAGTTTATGAATAAAATTAAATGCATTCACAAGTGTGTAGCTCGTGTGGAAAGTATCCAAGCCTTCTGGGGCTCCTTATCGGGATAAGCCCCTGTGGAGAGATCAAGGATGCTGAGGCCATAGAGCAGGCTTGTGTGAACACACAGTTCCTGAGCTGCTGACAGTTTCAGTCTTTCTCCAATCCCGGCCACTTCTGTTCCTTCCGGTGCTACGCGTCTCACGGTGCTGCTGTAACCAGGTACCCATTTCAGGGAAATCTCTTCCCCTTTCATCAGCCTGAAAGGGAAGAGATTTCCCCGAAACGCATCCCTGGTGGCAGCAACACCGGCAAAAATGAAAGTGGTTGGACCTAAGGTGGGTCCGTACAGCTCAGTTTTTTCCTCCATCTTGCTATGGAGGAAGAAACTGAATGGATGACACAGAAGTGGCATCCGTTCTTTACTCCTCTGATCAGCAGGGGATCTGTGCATGAATCCTGTGGTAATCAGAGCGCCTGTGTAAGGGACCTTAAGTGGTTAAAAAAAAAAAAACAATGCTGATACTAGTTACTTTTCTAATTTTCTTTATATTGTGAAGAGGTAAATTAGAATATTTTATTTACTTAGGGCCAGTGATAAAGACCATTAAGAATAAGCTTTGTATATGAAGTTCATGAAATGTGCATGTTTTATGAATCTTCAATAAAAGCCTTGTAGTGAATCATTAAAAGTTTCCCTTTAGTAACTACTAAAAGTGGCTTTTGCAGTACTATGCTTCTTCTTAACCATTTGAAGATGCAGTGCCATACCGAATTAATTTTATATTTTTGGGGGGACTTTGGAGCTTTATTTTGGTGGTATTTAAGCACCACTGTTTTTTTTTTATTTTTTACTATATAAAGAAAAAAGTGCTGAAAATGTTGGGAAATAAAACTGCTTTCCCTATGTTATATTATGAAACATGTATTAGCCAATTTTTTGGTAAAATACAAAAGATGGGGTTATGTCGAGTAAATGGATATCAAACATGTTGAGACTTAAAATTGCATGCACCCGCATAACCGCAAAAAAACTACCATACCCAAAATTGGCCATAGGCGACGCTTTAAAAGCTTTTGCCGCTCATCAATTTAGTATTCTCAGTGATTGATGGCCCTAGAATTGCACTCTGACATTCACAGTGATATGTAACATGCATAGTCGTTTTGGCACGTAGGCGCACTCGACACATGTTTGTGTTTTATATGTGTGGGGCAGGGGACTTTAAAAACAATTTTTTATTATATATCACTTTTTTTTTTTTACACTTAACTTTATTGCCATCACAAAGGGGGCATATCGTGACAGGTCCTCTTTATGGACACCCCTATATTAGACACCTAATATCACCTTGGGACCCCAAACAGGCTGATGAGGCAGAGATGTGCTCAGAAAGAAGCTGATGAAGCAGAGATGTGCTTCATCAGCTTTTTCTCTGGCTTTTTCTCTTTTCTCTTCCACATTCAGCGATCAGAGGGGAGATCAGCCACTGAAAGTGTGCTGATCTACGTACGATCCAGCCACAGAGACCTGTTGTGCTGATCCCGGGCCAGCACAGAGGACAGTGGAGCCCGAGATAGCTGTCGGTGGTGTGTGCTTGGGGGGGGGGGGGGGGGGGGGGAAGGGGGGGGACACTGT